GAATGTCGCCACAAGTGGACTGGCTTGATCGCCGTGTCTAGTTGGGTGTTGTTCCAGCCAAAGTCACCAACAATCAGCTCGACCTTGTGTATGATGTTGTGATATGAGGTTCAACCAACTATCATGATATTGATGAAAGCCTTATGGAACTATTCCGCGTGCTTGGAAATTATTAGGAAGCTTCTAGAGTATTACTCTCACTGTATTTATACTCTCTACATTCTGAGAGAGTAGAAAGATAAGAAAAAAAAAAGATATGCTTCCACTGCCGTAATTCACAACACCGTGGAATGCAATCCACGCCGATGGGCCACGGATAGCTTGCCTTGAATGTTCCGACTCCTTACATAAGACTTGGATACGGCTAGCCAAGTCGTCCTGCGGCCGATGACTACTTGCTGGGTGCGAGAAACAGGCCGCTCGAAGTGGTGCCACAACCTGAACGCCGTGCGGAGCCCACCCACAAACCGTGGAGGCCGCATGACAGCGTCAAGGATGTGGAGCTGCTTCACCAAGATGAGGATCGGATCTCGCCTGCACGAGGTTCGACGGTCCGACCAGCGTGATGGGGATTCCAACGGGGCTGGCATGGGACGGTTGTCACACGCAGGCTGCCCTTCCTTAACCAGGGGCACCTTGTCGTCCTCCGTCTCTGCTGTGAGTGCCGACCCTTTCTTCGGTTGGCACAAGGCGCGGCGACGGGGCGAGGCTTCTTGGGGGGGAGGAAATCGCACGGGCGGCCTAGGCAGCACTTGTGGCCAGCACGGTGTACAGAAGGTGAGGTCACTTCGACTCATATAAAAGCTCTGTTCCTCCTCCATCTCTCCACGTCTTTCCATCAGCTCGAAAATCTCTCACACCAATCAATTTCTGGCCCCGTGCGCCATTGCGTGGCCTGTATCACCGTCTCTCACTCCCTCGAGTCCTTCATCATTCTCACTCCTTCGCCTTGCCGAAAATGAAGTACCGTCAACGAGGATCAAGTTCCAGCACTCACCACGGAGGTATCCAGAAGAGGAGTTCCAAGCCGGCAAATAACCCGCGTCGCGCTAACGCGTCTCGCGCCTCCAAACCCACCCGCCCGTCGCAGCGCAGCAGCCGTACAGAAGGCCAATCCTCACCAGGACCCTCCCGCCCAGCTTCTCCCGCGCGAGAGTCCGACGCCGGTTCCTCGGAGAGCGAAGACCCCCTCGCCAGAGAACACCACACGGTGCCGTCACCCATCTTAGGTGGCGCCACTCTCGGACCATCTTCCCCCGACCCAACTTTAGAAATCCCCGCCACCCCGGAGGGGTCGGTCGAACCGATGTCCAGTTGGGGAATCACCCCTGCCAGAGAAAAGGTGTGCGACGCCGACGCTCAGCTCACATACACAGAGTTCCAGGGCGGGGAAGTCATTCGCCGACACAGAGGGATCAGGATCTTGAATGGGAACGAACTGGGCGACGCACAGCGGAGAAACGAAGGCCTTACACAGGAAGCCATTTTGCGACAAATAGGCGAACTTGTTAGTTGCTTCGTAAATGCGAATTCACCCCCCCTGCTTTACGGAGAGCTGGTCCATTTGGAGGATAAGAGCTGAGACAGGACGAACAACCTTCTATATAAAGCGATGTCGCATTGGCCGATGTCACGGGTGATGGAGACGCCATTTTGTGAGTGTAGAGGGACAGACGGTGTCCGACGTACCCGGCTTCATAGAATAAATTGGTTACTTAAGGCCTGTCAATAATAGTCGGAGCTATCCAGTTAGTTCTGGAGCACGTAGTCCCCGTTGCCTTCTTCAGTCCCGGGCGATGGGAGCTTTCCTTCCCGACGCGATCCGCGCCCCGAACCACTTTGGCGGAAGATCCTGACCCAATAATCCTAGAACTCGCAGTCGTCACGCCTCACCGATGGCAATACTCTCCAACCGAGGCCTCGCGGGCTCGTCGTTTGTCGGGATGGCGCCATGGAGGTGTACCGAGATAGCCTTTTTGGTAGACATGGGACAGAAACGCCGATGACGAAGCAACACACTAAGAGGTACCCTGAGGCCTAGCCCCTATGTCTAGACGGATTATAGGTTCGACGATGGGTCAGAATTGAGTACCGCCTTTATCCTGTCATGGTGGCCCCGCTATCTCCTGCCATTTGGATGTTTGTTGACGAAGAAGAAGGAAAGAGATATCCGGTCACGGCGGGAGTCACACAACAAGGTAGCTTCTAGCCACAGGATTCTCGTTGTCAATCCGAGTTTCAACGTGTAGTTCAGCCCCGGTGGGGAATGGCTCACCGGGTTATGGGTTACTGCGCTCTGTATCGCGATTCAGTGGCGATGCTAGAATTTGTCGAATATATAGGCTTTTAGAGCCCGGTTAATAGGCCCCATCAAGGCGGCACGGCGAGATCCGTCTCATGCCGCCGGTCCACGTGTGGGACGGCACGCCACACCACCACGACCTGGACCCTCCTCAACAAACCCCACGCGCAGTCGAAAGACACTCCAAGGTTGACTGACAGAGAAAGATAAAAGGAAGCGACCATCCTCGCCGACGAGGCACGACTCTAGAGGGGTGAGGTGAAGTTGCCGATCGCTCCATCGACCTCTCGTGATCACATCAGACCGATATATTCCGCGAACGAGACCCTCGATACTCCGGGTGAGGTTCGAGACCTTGAGACACCACTTTTCACGGACAGTGGGATCCAACAACCACCTCGGCCCTCCGCGATGGTACATCCACTGCCTCAAGTGGTGGTTGGGTCAAAGATCTCGTCGCGACCTCCGAAAATTTCACGACCCGGAAGTGGAAGCCAGGAACCGCCCATTCACGCCGATATCAACGGCCTTCTGCTGGCTCCACCGACTCCCCTGAAGAACGTGGTAACGCGGCGGCCAGTTGTGCAGCAAGAGTTTAAGATCAACGAGTACGAGCTTGTAACCAGCGACGAGGAAGACGAAGCGGACGAGGACCCACCCCCGGAGGATGGCGACCTAGTCCCACGCCCTTCTCTTTTCCAACCTGTAAAGGTCAAACCTCTCCTCCCATCCACAAAGTCAATGTTGACACTTGCACTCCACAACTTCGAAAAGTGTCGGGGGCGTGCTCACTCACTGCCGGCGCCATTACACTGGCCACTGCCTTGCTCTCCTTCAGTGGGGTCTTCGGCGGCTTCTCCAGAGGACGGTGACGATGGTACGGTCACACAAACCAGCCGGGGGGCACCTATTACCACCCCTCCACCCAGACCGCCTGCACAGTCGGCGGCATATTCCCCACAGACTATACGTCGGAAGATGCTGTCGGAAGAATGCACGGAATCCTTACGCAAGGACATCTTGTGGGAACGGCAAGAGAAATCCCAAGCGTTCAATGCCTTTCTCAAGCGGCGCCGCAGGCACCAGGATGCGGTGGTCCAACTCGCGCAGACCGCTTGTGCTCCTACCGTGGCCTCCGCGCGAGAGTCCGAGGAGGATCTGTATAACTACTGGTAGTCCATAACCCCGGCACCATTGACCGGACCTTGAGCCACCTTCAATTCCTAGCTCCGGCGCCCAAGCGACATGGCTCCTTCCAATTATGAGCCTCCGCTCCGCACAGAGTAAGCTGACCCCATTGACCTGAAGGGCGCTTTCGGGAGTAAGTTGAGCCTCAATCACTATGACGGTGAATCCTCGCCCTAGAGCGGAAGAAGAAATCTGTTTCGTCCCGACCAGCGACTAGTTCTCCATCTAGTTTGAACAATTTCCATAAGAGACGAGTGGATGGTAATCGAACGAGTTGTGCTGACGAGACCTGACGATAAAATAGGCCGGTCCGTGGGAAGGCAGGCAGGCCGATTATGGATCGATTTTGGTCGTCCTTGGCATCACAGTCGTCGCAGCCATGTCTTCACGAGACGCGGCGCTATCAGGACGAGGCTGCGCCCGGAATGGCGGCTGTGGGTGACTACCTGGAAATGAGCCTGCTCAGGTGTAGGTTGTGGCAAGCAATTCGGGGGCACCTCGGGAAACAGGCCGATCGCAAAGTCAGGGTGAGGACGATCTTCATGCTGGTCACACGGGAGAGCTGAAGGGCCGATATCCAACCCATATTTGAAGGGTTACCAGGGTGGAAGTATATACATATAACTTATATAGACAGCAAAGTACTTGTCTATTTTCTCGAAATAGATTAGCGATAACATAGTTTTCACTGTCCCCTAAAACGTTACGTACAAAAAAAACCCAGGGATGTAGATTTGATAAATACTAATATAAATGTCAGGCAATAGGTCCGTAAAAGTGAGGGTTCCAACAGGAGTTCGTTTTGACCACTAAAGAGGAGATATTGTACGGTAGTCACAGTAACTATCGATAGAAGGAGTCACATGCGGGCTTACGCCGTGAGACAGAGGTAAGTTAATCTATCACAATACCAGAAACTCCTCAAAGGTTACTCGAACCACTAGAATGATGTAAAGCAATTAAATGCATTAAGGCTAAGGGTGTATGCCTGCGTGTATCTTAATGCATGAAACCATCACAGGATGGGATAACGAGGTCGAGAAGTGCACGTTGTACCAAAATGAGCCTCCCTTCTTGATCAAAAGCCAAGGTCGTTTAATGCGGAGGTTGGCGAATATCTCGTGGCCCGTTTTATCTGGGCAATTCCGTAGACGCTGGCCGGTCCGCCCCCATGGGACCTCCACCGTTTCCATCCTTCCAGAATGCCTATACGGTTCATGCCGAGTCGAGCTGAAGGTAGGTGTGGAGGATAAACCTCATCTCGTCATAGTAGATCTCGAGGTCTTTCACCTCTGGCAGATCGGCGCGATGCTGCTGGAAGATGTGCTTGGTCAAGATGTCGTAGTGCCACCTCCACTGTTCCGACCATGGGCTCTGGTCCCGAGCCCGTCCACCGCGGTCATCGTGTGGCGGGAGTTTTCGATTATCCCCACCAGCGACGAGAGCTGATCTGGATCCACCAGGTGGTTTCCGTACTAGCTGTGCATGTGACCGAAGACATGGTCTTCGGTCGCCTGCTCCATCCCGATCTCTCCTTGCTCAAACTAGAGACGACGGGTACATATTGTAACGAATCAACATCACTATTCACCGGTGTAAATCAATCACTCGACGCGAAGGACGACGACGCAGCATTCAGTGACGGAAGCGCTTTCATTTACAGCAAGAACTCACGCGAGATGTCCGAGAGACCTCCTGCAGCGTGTAATAAATACATCTAAGTTAGAACATGTTCTATGATCCTAGGTGCTTGGTGACCATCGCATTCAATGCTGATTTAGATTTACCATTTGCGCGACTAACGAGCAACATATATCGAGACAACAAGTCCAGCCCAACAAAGTTCATCGCTCTCGACCACCCTCGTAGAAAGGTCATCCTTTATCTCCTGAAACTTCGCTATTCAATCCAGAATTGGACTGACCACCATGACTCTCAATGCAAAGTCTATCCGCAAGAAACTGCCAATATTCACTGTGGAGGGGAAATCACCTCGGATGTTGGCAAAACCCCGCCAAGGGCGATGTCGACGCTCTGCCCTTGGATGAAACATTGTTCGTTCCTTAAAAGTTGAACTGCGTCGTAGTTAAGTGCGTCGATGGCGTCGACGGATAATGTCGGAGATGAAACACAATCTGATATTCTGTGCAAAGCGCCATCATTGGGGACTAAGATATTGAGGAAGTTGACGGCACTGGACAGGACGACCCCTGTAAGAGTAGTAGAATTGTTCGCAGATACAGGTGTCGCCACGACAGTTCTTAATCTAGCCAGTAGAACGAGAATCGCGGGAAGAAATCGTATGATACTTAAGTGCATCGTCATGAACAGTGAGGATGATTTATTGTTGGGGGGAGAAGGGGTTTTCGGCTTATATAGAAAAAAGAAGAGGGGAAGACGGGACCGCTGTGGTCACCAGCTGCTGCTTTGGTCGACAATGTTCTGATGAAAATTGCGTCAAAACCCGAGCGTCCGGGACGGTGTTGACTCTGATTTGCTGGACGGATTCGCGATGTGACGATTGCATGACCACGCTAGTGTGATTTTTAAAAAACGTCTCAGTAACTTCGTATGTAATGTACGTTACAGGGAGCTGGTCGTTTGGAAACGTCTTTTGCTATCATCAAACATATGAGACCATGGCATCAACACTGCCTCGAGAAGTGTCCATGGTGAGATGACAGATAAATTTCAGTGCCGTTTTCGCATCCTAGAAGTGGTGGTATAGTTGAAAACAGTATCGTACCTCGTGACCGACAAATGTCGCTGAGGACGGCGATCGATTTGTTCTCCCTCATGGGACCCGCCCGGTTGGGACAACATCGGGGCTTACTTCGGTTCCTCAAGTCTACATCCCTGTTGTATTTAGTGGGACACGAATCTCGCGGCATCACGACCTTCAAGCTGAAACTCCCCACAGCCCACCAAGGTCCACCTGGTGGGTATGCTTTAGATCAGCTCCACGAGTTCTTCCACGATTTTTTCAGCAAATTCACCCGCATCGAGCTCGTCGACGCCTCCATCACCTGCACCTCCTCGGATCTCGTCGTGCGGTAGTTTGAACAACGTCTGATGATGGCGGGATAATGCCACACTTGGGCCGCGTGGCAGGACAAAGGATCAAGGAGTGGGGTGTGCCTGGTCCGCCGAGGCAGAATGGGGACGTCTGAGAGATCTGGTCGGAATATGACTATAGGACAGCGTGATCAGGATGGTGGGAGGCAGCCCACTCGCGCATGGAAACTCTAGCAACTACGGGACCATTGGATGGAAATTTGTGGCGATATCTGTGCAACCGCTGCTGCCGACACGTAGCAAGACCAACGTCTGGCTAGTACTTCTGTCGTAACCACGCCACGAGCTCGCGACCGTTGACACAGATGATGGGGCGATGAGAGAATGTCGGGCGGCTGTTAAGTGTCGGGAATACATCTGTCCCGGATCGCAGAGATCAAAGTCACAGTACGAGCTATACTTCGCTGCTTTGGGCGTTCCTTCAAGCACCCGGATGAGAAGTCGAAAGGGTGTCCGACGCCGGGAGACATTATATTCCCCCTCAGCGCTTCTCCCGCTAATGACCAAATAATCTCAAGGCAGGATTACCACCGTTTGACCGTATGAGTTCATCCTACTCGAAGTATGAACAACTCATGGAAGATAATGTGGGCATTTCCGGTCGTGAAACTTGTTGCCTTTCTGTCGTATCTCGTTGTAGTTGGCGTTGCATAAGTGGCAGAATTCAAATCCGCATCCCCCTAATATCCGTTGGGCAGATTAGTAGAGACATCGAGG